AGGAAATGGACTACCTTCTCGCTCTCAGTGTCCAAAGCAGAGGTGGCTTCGTCTAGAAGCAGGATCTTGGGGTTCCTGACGATGGCCCTGGCAATGGCGATGCGTTGTTTTTGTCCTCTTGAAAGCTGCGAGCCTTGCGCGCCGACTTGGGTTTCGTATTTCTGACCATTTTCCCAGTGCGATCCAAAGATTGAGAGAAAGACAAACGCTGCGTAGTTAGCGATGCTGAATCTTACAGCGTGTGTCACAGCAACACAGACTTTGAATGCTGCATTTGGTGGTGCATTGAGGGGAAGTGGTGGCTGGCCAATAAAGGGCACTCGCCTTCAGACCAACCGCTTTCCCTTTTTTCATTTTACACTTGATATATCAAAGTGACAAGTTTGCTCTCACATTTGGCAGCGTCATCACAAAGTCGTGAAGGTAGGCTTTTTTGGCAGCCGCCATGATTTCCTCCATGCCGACGCGGCGCGTGTTGTCCCCGTATTGAATATTTTCAGCGATGCTGCAGTCAAACAAGACGGGCTCCTGGGACACGATGCCGATCTGAGATCTCAGGAAGGGCACATTCACCGACTGCGACGGCCGGCCATCGATCAACTGCAATAAAAAACGGGACATCCCCAGGAAGTGTTGTCTGATTTGGAGATTAAGACGAGCGTTCCCAAAAGTGTACACACCACTTTCCCTTCATCCGGGTCGTAGAACCTTTCCAACAGTTGGACGCTGGTGCTTTTGCCGCAGCCGCTGCTCCCCACAAACGCAAGCGTCTGTCCCGGCTTCACGGTTACCATCAGGCCTTTCAACACACGCACATCCGGGCGTGTTGGATAGGTGAACTCACAATTCCGAAACTCTATTTCACCCTTGAAGTTCTCCTGGGGATGACAAGAGTCAGACAGATCACAAAAGGAGGCAGGTGCGCCGAGAAATTTGGGGAGGGTGCCCAAGCCCCCCCAAAAAAGCACTCGTGCCATGGATCTGTTTGTGACCAACAGGTGGCACTGTA